CTTGCCTTGCCTTATCAGGCAACACAAACTTGTTTCTTGATTTGAAACAATATTACTCATTACTAGAACATGCAGAACTAAGACATTATTTTTTTCTAGTAAGATATTTATTTTGTTAAGGAAAAATGACTGGAGAAGTGTAAAGAATTCAAAAACGAAGTGTTTGTCGTGTTCTGACCATAAAGAATAGTTGAAAAACACAATTAACCATCTGGTTTTTACAACTTTCCCATTGGAGCAAAAATCGGCCTTTAAACTTGAAAGAAATAAAAATTGTACATTTATCATGATAATTATCGATTGATATGAAAAAATAAATATCGAGATCATTTTTTGCCCATCTTGCCCAGCCCTATACTAAGTAAAAAGTAAAAACGAGTATAAACCATCTAATAACCTACTATGAATTCTTTGACTATAACATTTACTATGAATTTGCAAAGTCGATTAATCAAAAATAGGCTACTCGGAAAAATTGATTATTTCGCATCAGCATTAGAAGTAGTTCTGATTTACAAGTTTCTGGTATATTCTGAAATAAATCTCATGAGTTTACTTGTTACTAAAGCCTCCCTGTTTAAAATCCATCTAGCACTGCTGACAAACATCTGAAAGGTTTACCAATCTCTTTCATATCCAAGACCGTCTTTTCCCCCTCTTCATATTAACCTGTCACCCAGCAGATAGCGTGCGTTTGCTTGACGTTGGTGTGTGCACATTTTCATTCCCAACCTGTCAGCTGGGCTGCGTTTTTAGCAGAGGGACAGGGCACCGGTGTCACACCGGTAATCTTGACTGACATCGCTCTGAAATATTTCTCTCCTCTCTCTCAAAAAAAAAATGCAGAAAAGTTGCTGCCAGAGTCATATCCACCTCCTTCGTAATATAAAAATACGAAGGAATCAGATGAAATCCATTAGATAACCATTTAAATAGAGCTGTAATCATTTGCTTTCTCAACCAGTTCTGACACACAAATCCACCGCTATTATGCCCCTGTCAAAAGAAAGCATATTGAAACCGCAAAGCCCTTGAAAAGTCCAATCTCAAAGGGCAATCCAAATAGAAAAAGTAAAGGTTCAGCACATTTATAATTTAATAAGAGTTTGTGCTCACTTGCCCTGAAAATATAACTACAATATTAGCCTTAAACACACTTTGAAAATATTAATGACCTTGAATGGACAATGTTGATCTAGTCTTCACCAGAAAGCTTTAGATGATAAAAGTTGTAAACGTATTGAAGGCTTATCGCTTTGATGCATGATTTATTAAATCAGAAAAGAAAAAAAAGTAATGTCTCTTGTTACTTCAAAATATATATATATATTCCCAATCTGTAACTGTTTCTGAAAGAATTACACATCTGTCCATTGGAATAAAACGTAGATATTCCATAGATACTTGATGCATTACCACTTCCGTCAGCCATGCTGAATTGGTGTTATAAATAAAACAACACTACGACATAAAGGCCTTGTCCTAAATACCACCCTAAGACCTCAAATGTCAAATGCGACACCCTATGGGTCCATGGACTTCACTGACACAAGCAACGGTCATCTCAAGTCTGCAAATTCACATCAAGTGCGCCATTTGGGATGGAGCCAAAAAGCACGGTCATACAGAATTATGGCTAAGAACCTAATTTAATCACCCATGTTGCTCATAAATGGTTAAAAACTATCTGTCCTTGTAGCAGACACCATGTCTCAGTGGGTTAATGAATTTTTTAAAGTGCTATACAAACTTTACAATTTCAGATTCTATTGGATTTTAAGCTAATGGCAGATGTGACTACAATGGTCAGGCTCGGTAAAGACTTTGCAGGGCTGTCCCTGAGCTGACAAAAGCAGGCCCAATTACAGCAGGCCAAAATGAAAAGCATCCTTACATTGTGTGTCAGCTCAAAGTACTTCTGGCAGGCCAGCTGATAGTGCATTCCCTTGACCAGTTCCAGAATCTGTGTAAAAGAGAGAGAGGAAAGGGTTGAGCGGTTGGGAGCGAGAAAGGAATAGGAAAACAGTGAGAGTGATAATGAATGAGAGTAATAGAGTGGTCTTAATGATTTATAATACGTTTACATGTATGCTCTAAAAAGGTATCTGTGTAAATTATTAAAGACCAAATATTAAGAAGAGAAAAACAACATTTCTTGGCTCCACAAAACAGCAAAAAGAATCAGATGTCAAAGCCACCTTAAACTTTCCATTAACACGCACTTCATATCCAAAGAGTAACTGGATGTTCTTTTAATAAAACTTTATTTACACCTTTGTTCATGTCTCCAGCATGACCAGATGGAAAACGCCACTTACATATTACACTGTAGCGCTTGTGTAAACTGAAAAACAGACCGAGAGCTTGAAATGCTTTTTGCCATTCTGACAGATAAAACAAATGAGGTATATGGTCGTCACAGTAAAGGATGCTAGCAGAAAAAAGAAAAAGTCACAACAAAACACTTGCTTTTTGTGATATCAATGGTATATTAATAAGCATTACAACAAGGAAAAAAATTGAGCCTGACAGAAAATTTATAACCAAGCCCATCAAAGTGACAGATAATGATTATGTGTAGTACAGTGTCTGTATTGCATATTACTTGAGTATTAAAGAACACAAATGCATTAGTATTTATGTTTCACAGAAGAATATGGTCAGAAACCGTCCCTGACCACCTCTTAATCCAAACACAATAAATCTGAAAGTATTTTAATGTGGTCATGTGACTACAAGCTGATCGCTGACAATGCATGTTAATGGCAGGTGTAAAGGGGGCCAGAATGTCAAATCAATATCTAAGCAGTCTTTGATGAGCAATAAAGATGAATAACACAGTTAACAATGCATTGTGCTACTTTCGCTGACACAGCACACGTTTATGAGGTTTCAGGTGAGAGACAGCAGCAAAATGCCATCAAAGGGAGAAGTGGTTATACATTCTACTTCTCTTTCCTTTTCTTTTGTGCTCAGACCTCTCTTCAGGTGATGCTTTTAACACCATGTATTCCCTGTGGTAAAGTATGGCATTCCACCTCAGCTAGCATCGGCAAGAACTGGAATGCATAATATATGGGCTTAAAGGTGAGAGCCAACACCATGCAACACCTAACTCAAAGCTCCAGAGACAAACGCTACTGGGAAGAAATGGTAAAATATACAGCAAGACACCAGCTAGGGGTTCAATGTATGCTGCGAAAAACAAGATAAATATCACTGGTTTAACATATTGCCTGAGGATAACATAGCCGAGAACAGCTAATAACATTACACATTAACACTGCACTTATTTGACTTGTAGCGATGTGTGGGTTTCTTAAAAATATATTTTTGCAGGCAGCTAAAGATACTTTTTGCCTATTTAGCTACCCACTATGATTGGATGAAAAAATAAATAAATAAATATACATATATATATATATATATATATATATATATATATATACACATACATATATACACATACATATATTGACACACACATATATGATGAAAATTACAGGCCTCTCTCATCTTTTTAAGTGGGAGAACTTGCACAATTGGTGGCTGACTAAATACTTTTTTCCCCCACTGTATACACATATATATACACACACATATACACATATATATATACACATACATATATACACATACATACATACACAATTTTCCTGAGAAAAATTAATACTATTGAGCATTATTAAATGGCCCAAGTGACAGTAAAACAAAATTATGCTACAAATGATTTATAATTCAAATTAATTCTATATAAAAAAAAAAACTATCACCGTTTCCGTACAAATATTAAGCAGCACAACTGTTTTCAACATTGACAATAATAAGTAATGTTTCTCAAATCAATGATTTCTGAAGCAAATGTGACACTGAAGACTGGAGTAATGATGCTGAAATTCTGCTTCGCATCACAGGAATAAATCAAATCTTAAAATATATAGAAAATAGAAAACAGTTATTTCTATACTTAAATCGTAATAACATTTCACAATATTACTGTTTTTACTGTATTTTTCTACAAATAAATGTAGCCTTGGTGAGCAGAAGAGACTTATTTCAAAATCATAAAATATATCTTACCATGGTAGTACATACATATATAACTTCAATGTATAATGTGTGCGTGTTCTCACCCTTTCTGCATGCGGAGCATCTTGTCTCCGTATTTCTCGCGCAGCTGTGTGTGGATGCTCTCGTCGATGCGCATGGGGTACATGGTGAGAGCGATGGCCAGCAGCCCGTGCATCTGCTCGTTCTGTTTATTAATCTGAACAACACACAATACACGATTTAGATTATTCATCACGCCATTATGACAATACAGAATAGAAAGTACAACAGAATGAAACAAATACTATTGGAACATTAATGCACAAATTACAGCACCTTCAGGTTTTGCATAATTTAATCATTACAATTACTGTAATGTGTCCATTTTTTACATTTTGTATGTAATTAGCATTTTCCTTATTACTGTAATAGAGTAATATAGCATTTTAAAGCAAAAAAAAAAAAAAAAAAAAAAAAAATATATATAAATTTATAAAAAAAAACAAA